AAGTTAGTATTGTAAAATGCAGTCTACAAAAAATGAGGAATTCCACCACAGTGGTGTGGTGGTTCTCAGCCTTCACTGCATATTAATTTAAAAATTGTTCCTTAAAAAAATTACGAGTCTCATCCCAAGAGATTAAAAAATTATTAGTGTATATTACTGTACAAGGTAATGGGTTTCATTATGATATTTTTTATACATGTATATAATGTAGTTTGATAATATTCACCTACTCCTTACCCTCTCTTATCCTCCTTCATGTCCCCTTCCTCTTCCCAAATAGTCTCACTTCTACTTTTATGGTTTTGGGTTTTTGGTTTGTTGTTACTTGTTTTCTAAGATGGGCTCTTACCATATAGCCCAGGTTGACCTGGTACTGGGTGTGTATTCCAGCCTGCCCTCCTGCCTCAGCCCTCTGAGTGCTGGGCTTGCAGGTGTGAACCACTGCACCTGATTTCATGCCTTTTTTTTAAAATCTAGATTCTTAATGTGAGAGAAAACATACTATATTTGTGTTTCTGAGTCTGGCTTATTTCACTCACCATGATCTCCAGTTGCATTTATTTTCCTGCAAATGGCATGACTTCATTCTTTTTTTATGACTCAATAAAACTCCATTGTGTGTGTATGTACCACTTTTTTTTTTCTGGCAGGTTGAACTCAGGGCCTCATACTTGCCAGGTGGTCTACCACCTGAGTCATTCCACCAGCCTTTTTTGCATTGGCTAATTTTGAGATAGCTTATCACTTTATCCCTGGGCTGGCCTGGACTGAGATCCTCCTATTTGTGCTTCTCTATATAACTGGGATGGCAGACATGTACCGCTGCACCCAGCCATTTGATGAGATGGAGTTTCCTGAACTTTTTGCCAAAGCTGTTCTCAAACCATGATTCTCTGCCTTTTAAGTAGGTAGACTCAAGGACTTGACCCACCATGGCACTAACTAGATACTTACCTACTGAATAAAGTGCTGAATAAAATATTATCATTATTATAGTGATTACATTTTACAATAAAGACTATGTTCAATAGTAAACATGAAATACTCCTTTGTAACTTGAAAGCCATCAAAAGTGAAATGGAAGCTGGGCATTGGTGGCTCACACCTGTAATCCTAGCTACTTGGGAGGCAGAGATCAGGAGAATTGCTGTTCGAAGCCAGTGCAGGCAAATAGTTCTCAAGACCCTGTCTCCAAAGTACCCAACACAAAAAAAGAGCTGGTGGAGTGGCTCAAGTGGTAGAGTGCCTGCCTAGCAAGCATAAAGCCCTGATTTCAAACCCCAGTACTGCCCCACAAAAATGAAATGGAGATCCTAGAAGATATACACTGCTTCCAAGTTAACATCTTCCTCCTCCTCACACCTACATCCCATTGACTGGAATATTTTTCTGCCTTAGAATCTTGAATGTCATCAGTTCACTCAACCACAACATCTGCACACATCCCCTGACACTGGCACTTGCTCCCCTACCAATTCCTGATAATTTCTCAGGCAGGAAAGATGATTAAGTTGATGGTGGCTGCCACTGCAGCAGCAATGACTGGCTGAGGCAATAGTCTCTGTGGCAATGGATGGTGGCCATGAGGGTGGCTACCACTAAAGTGAATCCAGTGGGGTGACCACAGCTGAAGACAGCTGCTCTTTGCAGCTTTCTCTTCACCAGAGCCCACTCTGTGTGGCGAACAGGAACTGACAGGGAATTAAAACTCCCAGTAGCCCTCGACCAGTTGACTGATGGGGATTGGTGTATAAGCACCCTCATCCCTTGAGTGGGAATCTTAAGTCCACAGTGATAATTTGCTTAATGATGGACCCTTTATGTGCTGCTTGCCTGCCCTGTCTCACTTACTATGGCCCTACCAATGCTTTTCTGGATCATCTCCCAAATTCTTGTCTCAGGATCCCAAACTAAGACAGTGCATCATGAGCTATGGATTATGATTCAAACACATATGGCACATTAACAAAAACTGAGTATATGCCAAGCCATAAAGCCTCAACAAATTTCAAAAGATTGAAATCATATAAAATATGTTCTCAAACCAATTTCAATTAGGCAAGGTAACTAGAAAAAAATGTCCATATGTTTAGAAATTAAGAAATATAATTCCAAACTTTTAAGTGATATGGTATCAATGAAGAAATAAAAATAGAAAGCCATGCTTTGTGAAAAATTTAGGGCATATATTATAAAAGAAAAAAGGCTAAAAACTAGTGAGGTAAACATTCACTCCAAAAAGTTGGAAAATACAACAGTAAGAGCAAAGAAAAAGCTGAGCGTGGTGGTGCACATTTGTAATCCCAGCACTTGGGAGGCTGAGGCAGGAGGATCACAAATTGGAAGCCAGCCTGGGCTACATAGTGAGATCCTGTATCAAAAAAAAAAAGGAAATAACACCATAAACAATTAATTGAATTAAAAACAAATATACCAAATAAAGAACATCAGCAACAGTTTATAAAATTGATAAACTCCTGCCCAGATTGATCAAGAAGAAAAGGAAGTGGGTGCAAAAAACCAATGTCAGAAGTGAAAGGGGGCCTATTACTACAGATTCTATAAACTGTAAGATATTGGGCACCATTCAAATTTATGGCCATTCAAAATGTAAATAATGTGAGAAATTCCTAGAAAAATACAACTTAGCAACAAAGACACAAGAAGAAATAGAAACTATGAAGTTGTATTAGTTTAAATATGCACACAAATGCTAGAGCCATCAGGAAGTGAAGTTATGGCAAAGGATGTATCTTAAGTGGTAGAGCATCTGCTTAGCAAATGTGAGGTCCTGAGTTTAAACCTCAGTACCACAAAAGAAAAAGAAAAAATGAAGTCTCTACCCCTTTAATGTGTGTGGCCTCATGTTTACTTGAATCAATAGAATGTAGTTAAAGTGATGTCTTTTTTTCATTTTGGTGGTACTGAGGTTTGAACACAGGGCTTTGCACTCTCTAGGCAGGTCTACCGCTTGAGCCACTCCTCCAACCCAAGGCTCTTGGACCCAGAAGACCACCATATAAGGAGGTTATTGTAGCTTATTGGAAGGGAGGCCATCTAGAGAAGTGCTAAAATGTAGTCTGGATCTCCACTTTGTCTTTTCTCTTCACACGTTCAGTTGCATTGAGCAAAACCGCATTCAAGCTCACTCAAGAAGCAAAGTAGGCTGAACAGAATAACCCAAAGCTCAGGGAAACTGGATCTAGAAGTGAAAAGTCATCAGAACCCAGGGAGCACTTTCAGGACCACAGGAGCTAATCACAACCCCCTCTCCACTACCTGGGTTTCCTTCTGTCTCTATACATGGCATCTGATGGCTCCTGCAACCTTAGCTGCACACAACTTCCACTCTGGCTCCTAAGCTAATAAAGTGCTCTTTTCTTGGAAGTTAATCCCCAGGAGACACTCCCATGGGCCAGGCTGATTTTTCCATGCCAAAGCACATCTCAGGTTTTGAATGACCAGTTACCCCAATTTTGAGGTTTGGCATTACCTCCAGGTGATTTGTCTGAATAGTAAATTTGGGTGAAGGTCATGGGCATTGTAAAATCAAAGCTCTAGACACTAAGGGATCTCTGAAATAAGAGGGTTTATTAAGCCACTACAGATGCTAGCTAGAAGAAAGGCCTAGGTTCTGGGACAAGCTCCTACAATGACTGGCAGCAAGGCTCAGTTAACAGTTGGAAAATGTCTACTGGACCAGTGCTAACAGCATTTTTAAAAATAAACTTTGGGAAAAGGAAGCTTTGTAACCCACCTTGCCATATAGTTAGAAGGGGTGGGATAACACAAAAGGATGAGGAAAAGCCTTGAGATAGGACTTGAGATAGTGATTGTTACTTCCAGATTAGTTGGTGGTAACAATCTGGAAAGCTCTTACATAAACAGTGGTTGTAGCATTCTGCTATAATGCAACTTAAGGTTTCAATATACATTTTAAAATGTTAAGGAAGTCTTTTGTTCTTTTCAGCTTGTAGCTTGTTACTGATTGCTCTCCCATCTGTTGCCTGGCCCTTTGTAATTAAGTATCAGTTTTTCTTATCAGCATGCTCAGCTCAGTGCTCTGGGTCACTCCTGAGTACTTGCCTGTCTGCTCTTTTTTTGTGACCTGCCCCTACTGGGAATCCTTTGATCAACCAGTTGTGCTAACCAGCTCTGTCTACGGATTCTAAGGAGAAACACTGAGAAGCCGGTACCAGCCCAGATCCACTCAGCATCTCTTCTGCATGCTTATTTGACCCTGTTACTCTCTGCTTACCACCCTCTTCTGATGACAGGAGCACACTGGCCTAAACAGGACAGGCCAGAAGTGCCAGAGGGTCAGTGCCCATGACAACAGCCCCCAATAACAGATGGATAGTTGATGCATAAACACTCCGTATTTTCTTGCCCCTCAATGGAAGGCTCTATGCAGTCTACCAGAGGTCCCCAATGGAACTGAGTCCATGTCCCACAATAGTAACTAGCTCAATAATGTACTTTTTATTAGCTGCCTTCCTCTCTGTCGCCCTTCTCCACACCCTACTAGTATTTCCAGATTCAAATGGCAAATACAGTAAATGAGTTGGTTCAGGGGGAATGCAAACCAAGACAGAAGTCCAGTGCAGTAGACTTCTAAGCCACATCCTTCTGTGCAGTTGTTTTCAATAGTAAGGCGGGTATTTTCATCTCCGCTGACCAAGGTGTATCTATTGTTCAATTAGTTCTGAACTCAGCAGGAAAGAGGTGTGCTATTTATTATCTTCTCCCCACCCAAGCCTCAAGAAAACTTAATAAAGGTTTGGGAAATGCTAGAATGGGAGAAACCCTGTCCCTCACTCAGCAGGAACAAGTAATGGCTGCTTGGCAGTGTTAACAAGGGAGGAGGGGTCATCTTAGCATTTTGCCCCTTCTTGGGCCCTTCCTTCTCAGACCAAGTGAAGCTGGTGAATGGACAACCCAGCGTTTCTGCCCAACCAGCTTTCCTAGTGCTCCTTAGGCGCTAAAGGCAGAAATCAAAGCCCAGTATACAGTCTTTCTTTATTGGAAGTCCTGATGTCCAGGAAAGCCAGGACAACCACCAGGGCCCTCAGGATTCCAAATGGCCACTCTGCTGAGGGTGGGGGCATCAAGGGGCCAGTTACTCTTGTCCAGTTTTCCTGAAGTCATAGCATCCTCAGGAGGCAGGAAGCGGCTGTGCCTGTAGAGAAAACACATCAGCATGTACTGGTATCTCTTCTGTGCCTAGCCCTGGATCATTGCTGGGGAGATGATGCAGAAACAGAAGAGGCTGACCTTGCAGAGCCCAGTCTGGAGGGAGAGGGTATCAAGTTGGACATAGTAAGCTATCACTAGGAGCACAGAAGGCACCATTTGGCTGTATTTACTGAGCCCTCACCTTGTGTCATCATTGTTACAGGTATTGGGGACCCTGTAGCAAAAATCTCTGATTCAAGGCAGCTTCCATTAAAAAGGGGAGGGACAGATTACAAATGAACAAAAATAGGTTGACTGGTGAGAAATTCTATGTAGAATTTATCAGGGTAAAGAGCAGAGGAGTGTGTGTGTGTGTGTGTGTGTGAACATGGAGCACTTTAAACTGTCAGCTACATATGTTCATAAGGCCTTTATGTCATATTGTATGAGATGAGAATGTTTGCATGTCTGCTATTGTATAGAATAGAGAATAGAGGAGGCTTGGCTCTCACTGCCCCCAGTTAGGGAGGAAAATTATAGCTAGGATGCCATTACTAGGAAGGAGGATGGTGAAGAGAAAAATGATGTTAGTTACTCCAAGTACACTGGAGAGCGACGAGGTTTTAAAGGGGAAACGTGGACTAATTTATATTTTTAAAAAGCTCTTTTGGCTGCCAGGGAAGAGAGACTGTGGGGCAGAAGTGGCCACAGGGAGAAGTTGGTTGTTTGTCCAGGAAAGGAAGGAGTAACCAGTTTTAAAATGGGAGGGAGGGGTCTTTACTCTCCAGAAGCCTAAATGTTCATAGCAGATGGCTGAGAAGCCAATGCAGATAATATGCAGTCATTACTAAATGTTTCCTGAGGAGAATTAAAAGTCCTTCCGCTGATTTCTGCTTTTAGGGTCTGAACCTTTCACTTATCCCTGCCTTATATAAAGAATCAATAGCTACCAGGCCTGATTCAAAGGGCATCTTCTCAGTCTTCAGCTAAGACCCCCCTTGAAGGAGGAGATAGAAGGGAGTCAGTGGAATGAGCCATGATGGAGGGACTGGTAGACCATAGGAGCCTGGGGATGGGACATCAGTGGAGGTTTTCTGAGAGAATTACCATGTAAATTAGGTAAGAATTAGTATGAGATGGACTAGGAGGGGCAGTCCAGGCAGATGGAAACAGCTGGACAACAGCTGGGGAGATACATACTTAAGTAACAATACATTCACTGGGGCTGGAACATAGAGCTTGAAGTGGAAAGCAGAGAGAGGTGGGGTCAAGGGGTCACAGGGACTCCAGGGTTTTTTGTTGGAGAACTTGACTGGTGTGAGTAACAGCCATGGAGAGGTTTCTAAGCAGAAGCAGAACATGGTTAGATTTACTCTGAAATCATTCTGGGACTATCACAGAGAAAGGACTGAAAAGGATAAGATGGAACAGGGAGGCCCAGGAGAAGGCTGGTCTGGTGGTATGAGAGAGAAGACAGGGTTGTAGGAACACAGAGTGAGCCCCATGAGAGGGAGTTCAGAGAGGGCTGGTGAAAACTGTTACTTTGCCCTTTGGAGTTCACAGTTTATGGAAAAAGGCAGGAAACATAAAGGGGGCAAAAATGCCCCCAAAGGAGCATTTTTAGAGTTTTTTTTTTCTAATTGCATCATCAACAAAATTTTAATACCTCAGATGTGTCTGCATATTATATTTAATGTACTGTGAACGTTAAAGAGTAGTATTTTCAAGGGCAAAATAGTTTCTGCCGGGTAGCGAGGGATAAGGGGGGGAAGGGAGGAGGTGGGGGGAAGGGGGGAGAAATGACCCAAACATTGTATGCACATATGAATAAAAATAAATAAATAAATAAAATTAAAAAAAAAAAAAAAGAGTAGTATTTTCCCCTCCACCCATTCTTTCTGCCAGTTCAGATGAGAAGCAGTGAAAGGGAAAGTGTGGGTAAGGGAAGAGGTGAATGAGATCAGCTTGGGGAGGAACAGAGGGAACCAAGCAAGGTCTTGGGATTTTGTTCTCAGTGTGAAAGGAAAGCCACTGGAGAGTTTTAAGCAAAGTTTTAAGTAATGTGACTGGATTTCAGGCTATTGTATGGGGGCAAGACAGAAAAGATTCAGGGACACCAAGAGAAGGATGGGACAGGTATCCTGGCAAAGGAGGGGTGGGAAGATAGTTGGACTAAAGTAAGTGCTCAGTGGGAGAGCTGATCACGTTCTGGTTTCTAGATGCATGGTGAGGGCATGTGCAGAAGTAGAATGGGGCTGAGGAGCTAAAGGTCTACTTTGGACAATGAGAAAGATGATGGGGGTTGTGAGGTAGTAAGTAGATGATGAACTGTCAAGCCTCCTTTACCTCTACAGTTGTAGATGAACGTGGAGGCTGCACCTGTTCAGCACACTCCAGGAAGCGACGCACATGCTCAGCACAGTTGCCAACAGCTGCTTCATTCTGTCGAAGACATTCTTCAAAGGCCTCAAAAGGTTCAGCACAGGCCTGGCGGATCTGGCGGATGATTGGGCTGTGGGGGCAGGGCATTTCAGACTCTGGAACACTCCCACACCACTACCCAGCACCCCTGCCCATACTTGCCTATACTCACTGGGAGGATGTGCACCGAGCAATGCTCATCTTAAGGTGGTGACAGTCCCGCTGCCATGACTCAGGTTTGGCTGCCACACATTGGCCATACTGATCCAGCTCTCGACCACAGTACCGAGCAGTGACCTCCAGGGCTGCCTGCCTGGGGGACGGGATAGGCTGAGGATCATTTCAGACAGCAGGCAATAAAAGAGTTCTGACCTGGGTCTGAGTTAGGGCTTGGGAACTCTGGTAATCTTAACAATCCTGGGATGAGGACAAGGAGGAGCAGAGCTGAGACTTACAGCCATGAGGGCTGTGAAACGGGGGGAGTTTCTGAAGAGATCACGGAGCTCCTAAAACAAGACAGGCCTTGGAAGAAGGGTCTTGGAGTTTACAAGGTTTAAGATGATGGGGGTTGTAAGGTGGTAAGTAGATGATGAACCATCAAGTCTCCTTTACTTCTATAGTTGTGGGTAGAGGTAAAGATCCAAGAGCTAGCTAGGGTCTGTGGTACTGGGGCGTTTCTTGGCCACAAAGTTCTAGAGATGGGGTCAACGGACAGAGGTATTGGAGATGAGACCTTAGGCCCTGTGGCAGCGTGGGGGTCATGGGAAAGAACTCAGGGACCTATGAGTATGCTCTGGAAACTGTGGGTGAGGCTAGGACTCTAGGGTAGATTCAGAGAGTCCTTCAAGTGAGATCTTGAGGTTTGAGTGGCCAAGGTCTGGAAATCCAGAGCAAAGTCAGCGGGACAAGTCTGTGAGCCCAACAGGATGAGTCTGGCATCCTGAGCAGACCTGGAAAACTCAAAAGGTAAAGTTTGTTCATCAAGGGAGGAACTTGGAGATCTAAAGACAGGTATTAGAATCCTGGAGGTCCTCAGACAATTCTAGAGTACTAGGGTCATGGTGTTGGGGCCTGGGGTCCTGGGAAGGAAGTTTGGGTGACAGAATGGACACAAAATTCCTCGTCACCACTAGGACAAGGAGAGGAAGCTAAACGCTCAGAGGGCGGGGCCTGGGTCCGAGGGTGGAGCTTGTGAATGAAGGCGCTGAATCCGAATTGTCGGGTCTCCAAGGAGCAGGGCGTCCGGTATTTCTTCCTGGGGTACTGGGGAAAAGAAAGAGAGCAGCAGCAAACTCGGGGCAGGTGTTTCCTACTCACATGTCAAGACCGGTGCCGGCGTGGGCTCAGTCAAGGCGACCCGACCCGCCTTTTCCGGTATTCGGTTGTCATGGCGGCATCCAGCCCAGCCCTCACTGCTTCGCCTTTCCGGTCGCAGTGCGGACAAGCAGCCCATCCCACTTAGGCTCAACACGTCATGGCGGCGCCCCACCTCTACTTCCGACCCCGGCCTGTCCTGGCGGCGCCCATCCTTACTTCCGGCCCAGCAGGCTTTTTGTTTTTATCCCTTTACTTCCGGCTTGCGGTGGTGGCGCCCAGGGTCCCCCGGAAGTAACGAATCTGAAGAACCGTGGTGTGGGGCTGAGCCACAGCCACCCGCGCTTTCAGCTCTCTTGACTGGCGTTTGTGGCGAGCAGCCGTCATTGCTGCGACCCCCAGCGCGCTGCCGTGGACAGCTAAGCCCGGCACTGTGTCCGCCAGCTGCTGGCTCAGGGACGGGGACAGCCCAACCCCTAATGCTGCACTGCCACTACCAGCCTTGTCCGGTGCCCAGTGTAGTTCTGCGAAACTGGTTTGTGCGCACGCTCGGACCTGATGGGTAGGAGTCACCTCAAGAGCCTGACCGGCCGGCTCGGGCCTCCCATCTGCTCAGCCTAGATTACCCACCCAAACATGGCCCCTCCGTAGCCCTTGGCATAGGCTCTAAAGTCAAGCCCGTGTGAATTTTAACGTGGTTCCTTGAAACCATGGACAAGTTGCTTACTCTTTGTAATTCCTCCAGGACGTGCTTCCTGAAGTGATGTTTTCACCTGTCTTCAATGTATGAGGTTAGATCTGGGCTTGATTTTCCGTTTATAAGGTTGGATGCCCCGTTGGTCAGAGAACTGAGCATTTGTCCTGTTATCTAGTATGCACTCTGCATACTAGAATCTTCCAAGACTCCAGCTAAAATGAGCAAGCGATAACCACTTGGGGTCTCAATATGCTTATCTGTAAAATGGGAGGATGACAGTGACCTCCTTCACTTAGGACATAGTACAAGGAAATGGTTTCCAGAGACTGATCCTTCAGTAGTTCTGGATAGGTGAGAGCTGTTACAGGAGGCTTTAACTATGAGCCGTCCTGGTTGGCAGTGCCTGCTTCAGATGACACAAGTAGGTTTGGAGCGTGGCACTGAAATAAGGTTTTTACACCTATGCCCCCAAACTTCTAGTTGCTTTTTGACCTGTGGCATCAAATATAAGAGAGACGTAAAGTGACCATGGTGTTTGGGGTGAGGCAGATCTGAGACTGAGTCAGAGACCTTGGATAGAATGCTTTTGCATTCTGGGTTTCAATTTCTCCCTAAAACCTGCTTCAGAATGTTGTGTAAAAAATGCCGAGATGATACGGACCTCTAGGTCCTGCAGAGCCACGGACCACAAGTGAAAGGGAGGCTTGTAGAAACTGGTCATAGGCAGATGGCATTTTCTTCACTTCTTTGCTTTTCCTTAAAATTACATTTGGGGCTTGAGGGGTGTGTGTTCAGTGGCAGAGCACTTGCCTAGCATGTGTGACACACAGGACTCAATCCCCAGCACCCTCAGCTTTCACAAATGTTCGCTCTTTGCTTATCTAATCAAATACAAACAACCTAGAGTCCATTTACTTCAAGTTTTGAAAGGCTGTGAAATTATCAGCAATGACAATTCTGTTTATCATTCTGACTGTAGTATGAATGTCAGTTCTGCTGGTGTCTGTGCCAGTCTCCATCTCAGCCATTTACTTCCTCTTCCCATCCTGTCAGTCTGACTACCATCTTTAAGTATTATCATCCTTATTAAAGAACTGAAATTTCTGTGGGGAAAAAAACCTCTCCAGACTTCTTGGTCTCCTCACCCCTCCTCCCCTCAAGATTTCTGTGGGGAAGGTGCATTGGAGATAAAAGGAAGAGGTGGTGGAAAAAAATGGAACATCCACCCAACAGCGTATTTCCTTTGCCTCAAAATGAACGAACTAGTGGCCAGCAGGGACCTGAGGTTATTTTGTTCCAAGTCAGAACACAGGTAGCCCTCTGTAAGTGTGCCAAACATTTATCTCATTTTTTGTTTATCACACAAAAACAATTCCCAAAAAACACTTAATTAGTGCAAACCTTGATTACTGTTTCTGAGGACTAAATTCCTTAAAATTCTGTTCTCTACTATTCATTCAATTAGATTTTCATTCTATTTAAATAAAAAATGCAAAAGACCAGTTTGCTTTTCTCTGGTCATGATGGAAAAAGGACTGAGTTTACCCTCCAGACATAATCAACTAAAATCTGGACAAAACATGAGATGACAGCATTCAGATGTTGGAAAACAAGCATTGTGGCACAGTGATCCCCAAGGGGACAGAGACAAATGTGGCACTAAAGGCCTAGCTTATGTCTGGCATTTCCAGGCTACACATAACAGGAAGAAGGAATTAAAACATCTCAGTGGTCTCCCTGAGTTGAAGCAAACTTGGGAATTTACAGCGGTCAAGGCAGCTAGTTCATAAGGCAGAGTTTAGGAGAGTGCTGAAGAGTTTTGCAGGGGGTCTCCAAGTCTTCAGGTCACAGCATGCCTGTGAACACAGTCCTGGAGGACAGAGAGAGCCAAGGCAGCACAATAATCCCTGGACCTCATAACTGCCTGTGTTCCCACTGGCCTTAATGGTGAACCTCACTGCACATGGGGTAAAATATTCAGATATTGTCTATGTAGTGAGCAAAAGTAGCCCTAATGGCTGCTCTGGTCTCATTTAAGAAAGCAAAGAAACACTGAAAGCAAACCATTCATGCTGAAGGATAATGATGATACTAGATGGAAATTTAGTACACAAAACATAAATATTTCCAGATATGGCAACTATGGTGCTAAATATTAAAGTTCTTGTTTTATACATTTCTTTTAATGGTAGTTGACTAAAAGCAAAAGTAGTAATATATTTTTGCATCATCACATATGTAAAAGTATATGACAAAAATGGCATAAAGCACCAAGAGATGGGGAGGTGTGTGTATCAAAGTTCTTGTACTTTGAAGTGATTACATGCCAATACTGTTTATAACAGCAAAGAATGGAACAATTCAAACATCCATTAATAGAGCACAATACAATCATATAGTAAGATATTATATAAAACCAAAACAAACAAAAAAACCCCCAGCACTCTGCAAATTGTTATGAAGGCAGCTTGGTCTTTAGCCAAGTGTGGAACAGACTAATTATAAAATATTCACTGGGCTGGTGGTGTGGCTCAAGTAGTAGAGCACCTGCCTAGCAAGTGCAAGGCCTTAAGTTCAAACCCCAGTGCCACCAAAACCGACCACTCCTGCCAAAAAAACAAAAACAACAAAAAAACCAAATAACCAAAATTCACTGGGTTTTAGAGGTTTAATATAAAAAAAAAATTTATCTCAAATTTTTAATATTCTTTACATGTTTAAGTGTCATTTTGGCTATATTACATTAAAATAAGATACATTCAGTCATAACGGAGGACATCCTGCCATATTCTATATACGACATGGCTGAACCTTGAGGACATTATGCTAAGTGAAGTAAGCCAATCACAGAAGGACAAATGCCACATGATCCCACACATGAATTATCTAAAATTGTCAAACTCATAGAAACAGTAGAATAGTGGTTTCCAGAGGCCAGGGAAATGGAGGAGTTGCTCAACAGTTAAAGAGTTTCAGTGATGCAAGATGAATAAATTCCAGAGATCTGCTGTGCAATGTAGTAGCTGCAGGTGACAATTTTCTACAGTATACCTGAAAACTGGCCAAGAGGGAAGATCTCCCCACTCCCCCTGATACCTCTGACACACACACAAAAACTAAAACCCCAAAGGGGCAGGGGACACCTTTGGAAATAATGGATATGTTTACTTACCTTGTGGTGATGGTATCACAGGCTGTCCTTATGTTCAAATGCATCAAAGTGTGTAATTAAATATGTATAGTTTTTCATAATAATCCTACTTCAATAATACTGTTAAAATATTTTCAGTAGTTTATGTGGCTACAAGAATAAAAAATTACATATATGGCTTGCATTTTCTGTTTGTCATACTGTTCTGCTCTACAAAGACAAACATACAGAAATCTCTGTTGAAAGCAGAGAATAGGAAACTTGGGGCTTGGAAGGAGACTTTTCCCTGTATGATCTTCTATTTATCAATACCCCATTTTAAAAGAAACACATGGAATTTTTAAAAAAATACCCCAAATCAACTCCAGTAGTTATTCTACCAGAGAGACTGAGGAAGCATGAATTCTTGGTTGCCTGGTTATGGTAAGAAGTATTAACACCCTTGAAAAAACCAAGAGTAAGCTGGGTGCAGTGGCCAAGACTGTAATCTTAGCTACTTGGGAGGAAGAGATAGAAAAAATTGTGGTTAAAGGCCATCCAGGCAAAAAGTTTATGAAAACCCATCTCCACCAATAGCTGAGTGCTGCGGCATGGGCCTGTCATCCCAGCTATGTGGGGAAGCCTAAATAGGAGGACTGTGGTCCAGTTTGGCCCAGGCATAAAGCAAGACCGTCTCAAAAATAACCAATGCAAAAAGGGTTGGCAGAGTGACTCAAGTAGCAAAGTGTGCCTGCCTAGCAAGCTCAAACCCCTGAATACAAACCCCAGTACTACTAAACAAAAGTGACAGTCATAATGTCTTCACTGAAGTTATATTTTGTTTTTAATATGAAAGATCTCCTAAGCCAAAGGCCAGCATCAAGTTAAATGACATCCAGTTTCACTTTGATGTTCATTGCTGCCAGTTCAGCTACAAAATACCGAAAAACATAAGGCACAGAGACAGTATCGACAGTGTCACTGCGATTACAAAGAGTACAGTTGTATTTTCTGTTGCGCATAGCAGACCAAGAAGGGGGTGGCTTCTCCAACAGTGGAGAGAGTAAACTACCACACTTCACACACACGTGGGCAACTGAGCGATCAGAGCAGTTGAAGAGGCGGTCATGAAGGAGAAAAGATGTACCATGGGCCAAAAGAGCATCCCGTTCCATCTCCCCAAAACGGATTCCACCCTGGACATTTCTTCCCCCAAGAGGCTGGTTGGTAACTTTGTCCCTGGCTCCAGTTGTCCTAACTTGAAATTTGTCTGATACCATGTGGCGTAAGCGCTGATAATAAACCACACCTATGAAAATGTCTGCTTCCAGTTCTACCCCACTGATACCACTGTACAACCTCTCGGTGCCATAGAAGTTGTAGCCAGCTGCCTTTAACATCTCACCAAAGTACTCTAAGGCTGAGTTCTCTTCAGAGAAGATGAAGGGTGTAGCATCGTGGCAGAGACCATGCAAAGCTGCAGACTTCCCAGCCATACTTTCAATTAACATACCAATTGTCATACGAGATGGAAAACCATGAGGATTGAACAGAATATCTGGCACCATCCCACTCTCAGTAAAAGGCATGTCCTCAGCAGGCCACAATCTGCTCAAAATGCCCTTCTGCCCATGACGACTGGCAAATTTATCTCCAATAGTTGGATTTCGAGGGACTCTCATCGTGATACAAACGCACTTGAATTTTCCACTCCCAGTATCATTACTACACACTTTGATGTTATCCACTATACAATTTTCTTTACTCCTAGGGAAAAAATAAACATAAAAAGTCAAGCTATTTTTTAAACTTACAGAGATATTTAAGTTTTATTGATATAGTTAGTGCTTCATAAAGTATATTTTGTAAAACTTGTTTTTACCGCTATTCACAAATACAAATGGAGTTGGTATCCCTAAAAGTACCTATGACAAGGGCTATTATGTTTATCTGGATTACCATCAGTAAAAGCACTAAAAAGCTATGAAGGTGTCAGAGATCATTCTTATTGTAGAAGAGGCCAAAATAAAAATTGACTTTCAACAGGAGGCATAATGAACTTAATATTTTGTCCATGAAACATCCCTAACACTATGGATGACAGAGTTGAGAGAGATCAAACAACAGTTTCAAAATAAATCACAGATGAATCTCATAAATTGGGACAGACTGATAACAAGAAAAGTAGAAAAAAAATGGCAGTGCACCAGACATAGATCATCATCTCATTTAAGCAATGCCAATTCAGTTATGACTGAAATCCTAACTGCCATAGTTTGAGTGTCTGGTCCCCTCCCAAGTACATACTGAAATTTAGTCCCCTGTGTAGTGGTATTGGGAGTCAGGTAGTATTCAGAAGGTGATCAAGTCATGAGGATGCAGCCTTTGTGAATGGACAGTAACCTGAGAAAAGATGTTTAAGGAGCTGTTTGCTCCTTTTTGCACTTCTACCTTCTACCATGTGAGGACACCTAGACAGTGTCTCCAAGAGGAACATGTCCTCACCAGAGAGTGAATCTTCCATCCGGTGCCTTGATCTTGGAATTCCCAGCCTCAGATGTGTGAGAAATGAATTTCTGTTTTTTATAACTCAATCTTAGGCAGCACAGACTTAAGACGTAACTGTATTACTACTTGTATTTTTTCCAAAAACTCTCCTTTTAAAAAATAACTTCCAGCTGGGCACAGTGGCTCACACCTATAATCCTAGCTACTTGGAAGGCAGAAATTGGGAGGTATCAAGGTTTGATACCAGCCCAGGCAATAAATTTGTGAGACCCCATCTTGACCAATGTGCTGGGTGCAGTGGTACACATGACATCCCAGCTAAACAAGGAAGCACAAATAGAAGGATCACCATCAAAGCTGGCTGGCCTGGGTATAAAGCAAGACCATATCTCAAAAATAACCAAAGCAAAAAGGACTAGTGGTGTGGCTCAAACAGTAGAGCACATGCCTACCAAGCGCAAGGCCCTGAGTTCAATTCTCAGTATAGCTGGGGCATGGGGGAAGATAACTTCCACTGAGCTCCAGAAACTCCCAAGAGGCGGCCTTAAAAACCAACTCAAATCCCCAAACTTACTTATAGTATGTCACAAAACTTTCCCCAGTGCTGAGGTTTAGGTAGCTGTAATAGGGATCTCCATGCTGCAGTTTAGCTCCTATAAACGGCAATCCATCATCATCTAACTTCTGCACAACCCGTGTGTCACCAGGTTTAACCCCAAACACCAGGGTGTCATCTCCTTGTTTAATTCTTTCAGCAAGGTCTATGAATTCAGTCTTGTAGACACTTCCATGGGCAAAGCCTCGTTCCCAAGAAGCCTTGTTCACAATCTGCAAGTCAGAGAGAATCATAATTTAGTACAGGTAGAATAAAACAGGTAGGATTTTAATACTTTAAGAAAACTGACATTTGATTTTAAAACACTCCCCACATTCTCTAAATCACTGATACTATTAAGATCCAGACACATAAGGTTTAAGACCTAATCACAAATAAAAAAAGGGTAGACATATCCAAAACCATATTCACTCAACATGTACTCATAACATGCACTCAAATATGGAAGATAAATGTGCACCTGAATTCTCAGTGACTATTCCTCAAGGTCTGTCCACTTTCACCTTAGACCAAGAATCAATCATTTATTAGAACGACCATGTTCCCAATAGTAGGAACTTGGGGACGCATAAATATTTCTTCAGTGATCAGAAAAAACATGAAACTTTTAAAAATCAAAAATAAAGACCTAACTACACCTGGCGAAACTTACCATAGCATCTTCCATATCGTAGCCAGTGTAAGAAATCACAGCAACAATGGCATTTGTCCCAACTGGATAGTTATCCATGTCATAATAATCATACATGTATGGTCTTACTAAAGGACTTTGTGGAGTCTGAAGACGATAGAGTTTATTATCAGATCGGTCTTGGTAAGTGAGAAGTGGGAAGCCCATAGTCTGTTTACCTACACAGAAAAAACACCATTGCATTTTCTGTTTTTCACTCTCAATTTTAAAGTTGTGATGTAAAACTGGAAACAAATACTTGCTACAGGAGAATGATTAAATCATGGAGGTTATGTTTACTGCAGACTAACATTAACTATAAATTATACATGCATCAACATGCTCAGTGCAGAGTTACATCCAATGATACTATTTATATATATTTATAACACATTCGAAACAATTTTATATTTATGGAAACATTAAAGAGGATACAGAGGCTACATACAAGCCATGGGCTACTTCTGGGGAAAATGGAATTAAAATGAGATAGTAACTATTGCCAAATTAAATTACTTGTTTTGCACACATGGACAAAAATATCAAAATTTGTAAATATTGGGTTGTGAGACCCCCATCTCCAAAATGATCAGTATAAAATACACTGGAGGTGTGGCTCAAGAGGTAGGCGCTCTACTTGAATTCAAATCCCAGTTCCACCAAACAAACAAAGGGCACTGAAAACCATAATTATGTGAGTGACTATACTGGCTTATATCCTTTTTTCTTTTTTTGGTGGTACTGGGGCTTGAACTCGGGGCCTCGTGCTTGCTAGGCTTTGCTAGGCAGGCACTCTATCACTTGAGCCACTGCACCAGCCATCATATCTTTCAAAAATAGAATCACAAGATCTTGCACAACTGAAATTGATGACATCTACAATTACTTATTTCTTCAAGAATGTGCATGTAGAGAATTCCAAGATGGTGGCTAGAGGGAGGAAGCAGAAAGCGTGCCTCCTAAAGTAAAATCTTGGAGAGATGCTGGAGATTCACCTTACAGGAAAAACCACCTAGAAGAGGCAAAACTTTGACTCCTCCACACCCCCAGACTGACCATAGTATCCCCACTCCACATTAAATGGAGAAACCAGGAGGGCTCCCACGCCACGGCCAGACACCAGCACCCAGACAGCTTGGGAAGACGCCGACCACAAGGTGAGCTAAGTGGTACGTGGTACTCCCACAGACAACCCTGGGCCAGATCAGCATAGCCCCCTGCACAGATTGACCCCCACCCAGGGAAAAAAGAAAAACTGAATAATAAGCAATAACAAAAAAAAAAGACACGTAGCAAAGAAGGCGGGGCGCCCTGAGCGCCAAAGAGGGGGGAGGGGAAATCCCTCCCAGAACTGTAAATAAACAAGCCGGCTAGAGAAGGCAGGAGCAGCGGCATACACCCAGCAACCAGGAGCGGGAAAGCTTGTGAAAGCAGCGGTGGGAGGAAAACTCCACAGGAGAGGGGGAAGACCACTTCCCACATGAACTGTAAATAAACACACAGGCCTGAGAAAGCGGGTGCAGTGTCACCTCCCCAGTATACTGGAAAGGGGAAAGCTTGTAGCAGTGGCTCGCACACAGGAGAACTCTTGAGTAAACAAAGCCTGCAGGGCCAGGTGAGTGCTAAGCTCACCCCAGAGATCTGCATAAATAAACCCTCCAGCAACAGCAGGCTGACAGCAGCGGGCAGGCAAGCCATAGCCTCAGATAGCCATTCACAGAACTGTCTCCAGAAACTTTTTTTTTCTCTCTCCCTACCTTTGATGAGACAACAACTGAACTACACCTGCATGCTGAAAAACTTACTGAAACTGTATTGCATTTGAACTTGGGACACTTTGTGGGGTTTGTTTGTTTTTTTTGGTGCGGTTTTGTTTTATTTTGGATTTTCTAGTCTTTTTCCCCTTTGATGAGACAACCACAGAACTTCTGACCATCTCCAGGAATGGAGGCTGAGGGACGAACGCCAAAATTATTAAGACTGAAACTTTATTCCATTTGAACTTGGAGATTTTTATTTTATTTATTTATTCTTTTTATTTATTTTATTATTTTATTTTTTATATATTTTTCACTTATTTATTTTATATATATATATTTTTTTTTTTTTTTTTAATTTTCAATCCTCTCTCTGTCTCTCTAATGTCTGTTCAGCTTATGGTTGATTAGGACACTATCTGTCCCTGTTTATACCTTTGAAACTTTTTTGGTTTGTATGTTTTGTTTTTTCCTACTTATTTGTTTTTTCCTTTTCCTTTAACTTCTTTGCTTTCCATCGCTCACCCTTCTATTCTAAATATCACCAGTGCTATTATTACAAGCTAGAAAATACTTAATTGCACACAGTATAGGGAAAATAACACCACCAAGGGCACTGACGGGAAGACAGAAAAAACAGGGAAACCAGTTTCCTCACAGCAAAAAATTAGTACAGGAATCAGAGGGAAATGAAGAAAACAGTAACTCAGATCCAGACTCCAACAAAATGAAGATAAACTATGCCAAAGAACCCAATGAAGCCCACAAGAATAATCTAAAAGAAGACATACTACAGATACTCAAGGAGAATTTTATAGAGATGATACTGGATACGGTCAACCAAAATGTACAGGAGACACTCAAGAAATTCTACGACAACAAAAATAAGAGAATTTTAAAAAACACAAGAAGAAATAAAGGAAACCATAGTGGCATTGTATAAACACCAAAGTGAAACAAAGAACATGATTAATAAAGAGATAAATGAACTCAGGACAAAAACAGACAACAATAAAGAGGAAATGACCCAGGATATGGAAAACCTCAGAAAAAAGAACGAAACAGAATTGCAAAACAAAACGGAAGGCCAATCCAGCAGAATAGAACAAACAGAAGACAGAATCTCAGAACTCGAAGATGAAATGGTAATTAAAGGAAAAACTGAAGAACTACTAAACAGCTCAAGACCTATGAAAAGAAAATGCAAGAACTCACCGACTACATCAAAGGACCAAACCTGAGAATCTTGGGCATCGAAGGAGAAGAGGTGCAAGTGAAGGGAATGCGTAATTTATTCAACAAAATAATAATAGAAAATTTCCCAAATCTAGAGAAAGATATTACCATACAGACACAAGAGGCCTCAAGAACACCAAACAGACGAGATCAAAATAGAACTACCCCACGACATATCATCCTTAAAACAACAAGTTCAGAAACTAGGGAAAGAATATTGAAGGCTGTAAGAGAGAAAAAACAAATAACATACAAAAGTAAACCCATCAAAATCACAGCAGACTTCTCAACAGAAATATTAAAAGCAAGAAGAGCGAGGGGTGAGATCTTCCAGGCACTGAATGAAAATAATGCAACCCCAGGATACTCTACCCAGCAAAACTATCATTCAAAATAGATGGAGCATAAAAGTCTTCCATGATGAGCAGAAACTAAAACAATGTGACCACAAAGCCACCACTACAAAAGATTCTGCAAGGGATTCTGCACACAGAAAGTGAAACCCAACATAACCATGAAAGGACAGGCAGCACCAAACTACAGGAAAAGAAAAAGCAAGAAAGTAGAGAGTAACCTCAACTTAGGTACACACAATCAAACCTTCAAACAACTAAGACAACTAAATGACAGGAATCACCACATACCTATCAGTACTAACATTAATGTTAACAGACTTAATTCACCCATCAAAAGGCACCTTTGAAAATGGATTAAAAAGGAAGATCCAACAATTTGTTGCTTACAGGAGACCCATCTCACTGACAGAAATAAGCATAGGCTTAGGATGAAAGGCTGGAAGAAGATTTACCAAGCCAATGGCCCCCGAAAACAGGCAGGAGTAGCAATACTTATCTCTGACAAAGTAGACTTCAAACCTACATTGATCAAATGAGATAAAGAAGGACATTCCATACTAATAAAAGGGGAAATAGACCAAAAGGAAATAGTAATTATCAGCCTATATGCACCCAATGTCAACACACCCAATTTCATCAAACATACCCTGAAAGACCTAAAAGCATATATTAACTCCAACACAGTGGTTGTGGGAGACTTTAACACCCCATTATCATCAATAGATAGGTCATCCAAACAAAAATCAATAAAGAAATTCAAGATCTAAAATATACAATAGATCAAATGGACCTACTTGATGTCTACAGAACATTTCATCCAACTTCTACACAATATACATTCTTCTCAGCAGCCCATGGAACCTTCTCCAAAATAGATCATATCCTAGGGCACAAAGCAAGCCTCAGCAAATATAAGAAAATAGAAATTATACCATGCATACTATCTGATCACAATGCAATAAAACTAGAACTCAACAACAAAAGTAAAGACAAAAAACATGCAAACAGCTGGAAACATTAACTCATTACTTAATGAACAATGAGTCATTGATGAAATAAAAGAAGAAATTAAAAAGTTCCTGGAAGTCAATGAAAATGAAAACACAACCTACCGGAACCTATGGGACACAAAAAGGCAGTCCTGAGAGGAAAGTTTATAGCCATGAGTGCATATATTAAAAAGACTGAAAGATCCCAAATCAATGACCTAATGATACATCTCAAACTCCTAGAAAAACAAGAACAAGCAAATCCCAAAACAAATAGAAGGAGAGAAATAATAAAAATAAGAGCTGAAATCAACGAAATAGAAACCAAAAAACCATACAAAGAATTAATGAAACAAAAAGTTGGTTCTTTGAAAAAATAAACAAGATCGACAGACCCCTGGCAAACCTGACTAAAATGAGGAGAGAAAAAACCCAAATTAGTAGAATCAGGAATGCAAAAGGGGAGATAACAACAAACACCATGGAAGTCCAGGAAATCATCAGAGACTACTTCAAGAACCTATATTCAAATAAATTTGAAAATCTTAAAGAAATGGACAGATTTCTAGATACATATGATCATCCAAAACTGAACCAAGAGGGTATTAATCTATAACACAAAATGAAATTGAAGCAGTAATCAAGAGTCTCCCCAAAAAGAAAAGTCTAGGACCTGATGGATTCTCTGCTGAATTCTATCAGACCTTTAAAGAAGAACTGATACCAACCCTCCTTAAACTGTTCCATGAAATAGAAAGGGAAGGAAAACTGCCTAACACATTTTATGAAGACAGTATTACACTCATCCCAAAACTAGGCAAAGACACCTCTAAAACGGAGAACTATAGGCCAATCTCCTTAATGAACAATGACGCAAAAATCCTCAATAAAATAATGGCAAACCGAATTCAACAACATATCAAAAAGATTATTCACCACAACCAAGTAGGCTTCATCCCAGGAATGCAGGGGTGGTTCAACCTCCGAAAATCAATAAACGTAATAAACCACATTAACAGAAGCAAAGACAAAAATCACTTGATCATCTCAATAGATGCAGAAAAAGCCTTTGATAAGATCCAACACCATTTCATGATAAAAGCTCTAAGAAAACTAGGAATAGAAGGAAAGTACCTCAACATTATAAAAGCTATATATGACAAACCTACAGCCAGCATTATACTAAATGGAGAAAAACTGAAACCATTCCCTCTAAAATCAGGAACCAGACAAGGATGCCCACTATCTCCACTCCTATTCAACATAGTACTGGAATTCCTAGCCAGAGCAATTAGGCAAGAAGAAGGAATAAAAGGAATAAAAGGTAAAGAAGTAAAAAATACAAATAGGTAAAGAAACTGTCAAAATATCCCTATTTGCAGATGACATGATCCTATACCTTAAAGACCCAAAAAACTCTACTCAGAAGCTTCTAGACATCATCAATAGCTATAGCAAGGTAGCAGGATATAAAATCAACATAGAAAAATCATTAGCATTTCTATACACTAATAATGAACAAACTGAAAAAGAATATGAAAACAATTCCATTTACAATAGCCTCAAAAAAATCAAATACCTAGGTGTAAACCTAACAAAAGATGTGAAGACCTCTACAAGGAAAACTATAAACTTCTGAAGAAAGAGATTGAGGAAGACTATAGAAAGTGGAGAGATCTCCCATGCTCATGGATTGGTAGAATCAACATAGTAAAAATGTCTATACTCCCAAAGTAATCTACATGTTTAATGCAATTCACATCAAAATTCCAATGACATTCATTAAAGAGATTGAAAAATCTACTGAAATTTATATGGAAACACAAGAGGCCACGAATAGCCAAGGCAATACTCAGTCAAAAGAACAATGCTGGAGGTATCACAATACCTGACTTCAAACTATATTACAAAGCAATAATGATAAAAACAGCATGGTACTGGCACAAAAACAGACATGAAGACCAGTGGAACAGAATAGAGGACCCAGATATGAAGCCACACAACTATAACCAACTTATCTCTGACAAAGGAACTAAAAATATATGATGGAAAAAAGACAGCCTCTTCAACAAAAACTGCTAGAAAAACTGGTTAGCAGTCTGCAAAAAACTGAAACTAGATCCATGTATATCACCCTATACCAAGATTAACTCAAAATGGATCAAGGATCTTAATATCAGACCACAAACTCTAAAGCTGATACAGGAAAGAGTAGGAAGTACTCTGGAATTAGTAGGTGTAGATAAGAACTTTCTCAATGGAACCCCAGCAGCACAGCAACTAAGAGATAGCACCAATAAATGGGAATTTATAAAACTAAAAAGCTTCTGCTCAACAAACGAAATGGTCTCTAAAATGAACAGAACACCCACAGATGGGGAGAAAATATTTGTCAGCTACACATTAGACAAAGGACTAATAACCAGAGTATATAGGGAACTTAAAAAACTAAATTCTCCCAAAATTAATGAACCAATAAAGAAATGGGGAAGTGAACTAAACAGAACTTTCTCAAAAGAAGAAATGCAAATAGCCAAAAAACACATTAAAAAATGCTCACCATCTCTAGCAATAAAGGAAATCCAAATTAAAACCACACTAAGATTCCACCTCACCCCTGTTAGAATAGCCATCGTTAGCAATGGTGACCATCAATTACAGGTGTTGGCGAGGATGCGGGGGAAAAAGGAACCGTCTTACACTGTTGGTGAGAATGTAAACTAGTACAACCTCTCTGGAAAAAAATTTGGAGGCTACTTAAAAAGCTAAACATTGATCTACCATATGATCCAGCAATACCACTCTTGGGGATATACCCAAAGGACTGTGACACAGGTTACTCCAGAGGCACCTGCACACCCATGTTTACTTCGGCACTATTCACAATAGCCAAGTTATCGAAATAGCCAAGATGTCCCACAACTGACGAATGGATCAAGAAAATGTGGTATCTATACACAGTGGAATTTTATGCAGCCATGAAGAAGAATGAAATGTTATCATTCACTAGTAAATGGATGGAATTGGAGAACATCATTCTGAGTGAGGTTAGCCTGGTCCAAAAGACCAAAAATCCTATGTTCTCCCTCATATTCGGACATTAGAACAAGGGCAAACACAACAAGGGGACTGGACTTTGATCACAAGATAAAAACAAGAGCACACAAGGAAGATATGAGGATAGGTAAGACACCTAAAAAACTAGATAGCATTTGTTGCCCTCAACACAGAGAAACTAAAGCAGATACCTTAAAAGCAACTGAGGCCAATAGGAGAAGGGGACCAGGAACTAGAGAAAAGGTTAGATCAAGAAGAATTCACCTAGAAGGTAACACACATGCACAGGAAATCAATGTGAGTCAACTCCCTGTATAGCTATCCTTATATCTCAACTAGCAAAAACCCTTGTTCCTTCTTATTATTGCTTATACTCTCTCTTCAACAAAATTAAGATAAGGGCAAAATAGTTTCTCCCAGGTATGGAGGGAGTGGGGGGGATAAGGAGGGGGTGGGGTGGGTGGTAAGGGAGGGTGTGGGGGGAGAAATGACCCAAGCATTGTATGCACATATGAATAAAAAAAAAAAAAAAAAAGAATGTCCATGTAAAAAAAGACAAAGTCAGCCTAAAGAGCTATTCTACATTAAAGGAGACTAAACAGATTTGACAACTAAATTCAGTTTATGATCTTGGGCTGGGTGCTTGTTGTACAGAAAAAAAAAGTCATAAACAGACGACCAGTCAAAATTTAGGTAAGAAGTAAAATACAGCCGGTGCTAATGGCTCACACCTGTAATCCTAGCTTCTCAGGAGGCAGAGATCAGTAGGATTGCGTTTGAAGCCAGCCCAGGCAAATAGTTTGGAAGACTCTATCTCGAAAAACCCTTCACAAAAATAGGGCTGCTGGACTGGCTCAAGGTGAAGGCCCTGAGTGCAAGACCAAGTACCACAAAAAAAGAAAGAAAGAAAGAAAATATAATACCACAATGTTAAATTTCCTGATTTTGACAATTATTCTTGGCTATGTATGTAAAGGTTTTTGCTGTTGGGAATATATACTGAAACGTTTAGGAGAAAAGGGGCAAAAGAGGCACTGTGCCTACATCTTCAAAGGGAAAAACCGGGCAAAATGTTAACAGAAGAGATGACGGGTCTATGGGAGTTCTTCTCAGTACCATTCTTACGACTTTTCTCTAAGTCTGAAATTAGTTCACAGTAAATCCTGAGTGCTTTTCTTCTATCCATGCGCCCACTACCACCCTCTGCATCTTACCCATCTGGCACTGGTACATGTTCCGTGGACTCTGGTTGTGATCAGAGAAGGGGATGAAGTTGGCGATCACACTCAGCAGGCTGTGAGGGAAGAGCTCCTGGTGTGTGCTAACGCCAGCAAAAACCTCGTTCTCAAAGACAGCAACGTTCATGAAGAGCTGAAGGAGAGAAGGATGAGGACGTGCAAGGCACAAAATAACCCTAGCTGCCAGCATCTTAGCTCTTAAGAGTTTAGTTAGGACTCCAAGACTCCAAAGAACCCTTTCTCAACCCACCATCATGAACACTGCAGAGACCTGTACAGCTGTGAAGGGGAATAGGAAGAAAGAGAATTTTTAGAAGTAGCAAAAAACCCAATTTTGCAACTGCAAAGATGTAGGTGAAGGCACAGTGAGTCTAACAGTCTCCCCACTTGGGGCAGAACCAGGTGCAAAGAAGCTGTGGGAGCTGGGCGAGATGGTGGGCAGGTAACATGACCACCAACACTCACTCTTAGGTGTCATGGAGTGAGGCAAGACACTGAAACTGCTTAGTGCTGGTCACAGAGAGGGCACAAGTTCTGATTTTCTTTGAATGCTTTTCAAAGCAAGAGCTAAGTTCCAGAAAGGTACATAATATATAAGCACACAGATCCACCCATCACACACATTGTACATACCTGTTCCATAGTTCCAATTAGTTCTTCTTTGCCCAATTCCAAGTTCTGCACAGGCCGTACCAGTCTGCAAGGAGTGGTAAAAAGGAACAATCCTGGGTACAGACTTGGTTTTCCTGTCATGGGGATAAGGACCACCTCCATCCATGGAGGAATTTTTTTTTCTCTCAACACCTGTTTTCAACAGAAGAGAATTTCATAAAGAATAAGTGGTATGTTTTATGCCACCCTACGCCCGTCACTGGGAGGCAGGTAGAATAGGAAAAGAAAAGCAGTATCTTAAGAAATTAAGTTATGCTGGTAATAAACCCACTGCCCCAGCCCCCACATACAGAGATGGCAAAAGCCCTGCACTTACAGGAGGGCTCAGCCCCACCATCAGGCAACCCAGCAATTAGACTGGAGAGAGGTAAGATGAGTTTATTCTCTGATGTCTGAAATATATATTTCCAATTTTACTTTTAAATGTATCATATGAAAAGGCCCTTCAATCTAGGAATTTAAACCAAAACTATAAACATTTGAAAAAGAGAAAGAAAACAAAACCCATGTATCAAAATTTAAGGGGATTCACGGCAAAACACATTATCAGTAAAAATGAAAGGATGTTGGGTGGAGGGAAAAATCAGCAGATATGTTGGTCAAAGGTACAAACTTTCAGTCATGCCAGGGGAGTAAATCCTAGAGATATAATTATAGCATGTAACCACAGGTAACAATGCTATACTGCACAGGTGAAATTGGTTAAGTGGGTAAATCTTAGTATTCCTTACCACACATACAAAACATACCAAAAGACAAAAAAAAAAAAAAAGATGAAAACAAACTGAATTCTTAAATAATAAAAAGGAATGAAGTAAATCAAAAAGCACACATTACCAAAACAAAATTTTAAAACCATAGGCCATGAAACCAAAATGAAATGGAATAAATGTAGGTCACCAAACAGACCTCAACAGAGATAGCAAATTTAAGAAGACTAACCTCCTTATTAGAAATGAAGAATTTCTGCCAGGTATGGTGGTACATGCCTGTAATCCTAGCTATGTGGGAGGCATCGGTAGGGGGATAACAGTCCCAGGCTGGCCCTTGCAAAAGTGCATTCCTCACAGTCTCTGCCTCCTGAGTAGCTAGGACTGCCAGCTTGAGCCACCATACCTGGCTCTATTTTGTATGAAATACATGAATGACCTTTAAAAATTGCTGATTTGGAAAAACACTTGAAATACTAACATTAAGGAAGTATTAACCCTGACACTAGTAGCTCACTTCTATAATCTCAGCACTTGGGACGCTGGGGTTAGGAGGACTGTGGTTTGAGGCCAGCCCATTCACAAGACCCGATCTCAATCGATGGCTGGGCACAGTGCCATGTCTCTCTCGTCCCAAGCTACATGGGAGGCTAAGGTAGGGAGTATCATAGTTTCAGGCCAGTCTGGGCAAAAAAAGGGGAGACCTTCACCTCCATGGGAAAAAGCTGAGCGTGGTGGTGCATACCTGTCATCCAGTAATGGCAGGAAGCATGAAACAGAAGGATCCCAGTCTAGGCTGACCTGAGCAAAAAGTGAGACTCTTTCTAAAATGACCAGAGCAAAAAAGGCTGGAGGCATGGCTCAAGCAGTAGAGCACCTGCCAAGCAAGTGTAAGGCTGAGTTCAAACCCCAGTACCACCAAAAAGAAAAGAAGAAAACAGCACACCAGGACCAAGTAGAATATATTTTACAAATTTAAGACTTATTATTCCTTACTATTATCTGAGAATAAAATATAGTATTAATTAGAATTAACTAGTAATAATACTAACTAAATTAGTATTTTTTCCCTCAAAGGTGTCATAAATTAAAGTTACTAGATGACCTAACCCAAAACAAGTGAAGGTAGGCACTTGACTAGAGATTTGTGCACCAACGTTCACAGCAATATTATTCAAATGATCAAAAGATAGAAACAACCATGGCAATGATGGATGAATGAACAAAAATGTAATGTGTCCATACAATGGAATATTATTCAGCCTTAACAAAGAACATTCTGACACATGCTCTGACATGCATCATACTTGCTGACTAACATCATGCTATGTGAAATAACCAATCACAAAAAGACACTGCATGATTCCACTTATATGAGCTACGTATAGAAAGTAGAACAGCAGTTAGCAGTAACTAGGGAAGAGGAAAATGAAAGCTGTTTGATGGGCACAGAGTTTCAGTCTGGGATGATGAAAAGGTCTGGAAATGGACACTGGTGATGGTTGCACAACAACGTGAATATACTTAATGCCAGTGAACTGTACATTTAAAATAGTTAAAGTGGTAAACTTTGTTAGGCTTAACACAAGGGCCAGTCCAGAGAGGTCCCCACTGACCAAATCTGATACAATTTGAGCTTCAAAATAAAGTAACAGAATACTCATGAAATAAAACAAGCACAGATAAGTCTGTGCTGATATAAATAAAGAGAACAAAAGCTCTCACAGAATAACGATGAATAAACAGAACAAGTGATGGAATTAGAAAACAGCAGTTAGTAACCACTGCAATGTTAACTCAGCCAAGAATCATCAATGCAATAGCAATAATTCAGCAAAGAATTATTCAACCAGTGGTTGAAAATTAGATAGGAAAAAGGGTCATCACGTACCTTTCAACTATCTCTCCTAAACTTACAGGGAAAAAAAGCTGCACAGCGAATAACATAAGGAACACAATCCTAAAGAGATTAAGTTAACATCACCAGAGGGCAAACCAATGTCATGTGCTTCCTGAAATGATCCCCTGAACCTCATGAGGAAAGAACACACCCTTTATATTTCATATACATACTCCTAAGTATATAACCCAAAACAAATGAAACCAAAATTGAGGGCTAGCGTACGTAGCAACTGGTGATCTTCTTCCAAAGTTCAAACTGAGGGCTAGAGGTGTGGCTCAGGCAGTAAAACTCCTGCCTAGCAAGGGTGAAACTGAGTTCAAACCCTAGTACTGTCAAAAAAAAGCTGCAGCGAGGCCAGGTGGCTCATACCTGTAATCCCAGTTACTTGGGAAGAGGAGATTGGAAAGATCATGGATTGAGGTCAGCCAGGTAAAGTAAGTAAGACCTCATCTCCACAAAAAGAGCTGTGTGGTGGCGGGCACCTGTCAACCCAGTTATGCAGGAATTGTGAGTAGGAAGACCGCAGTCCAGGCTGCCCTGGACAAAAAATTTAAGACCATATCTCAAAAATAACAAAAGGATCGTGGTTCAGTTGGTAGAATGCCTGCCTAGAAAGCATGAGGCCCTCAGTTAAAAATGAAAACCCAATACTGTCCCCTCCGCCCCGCCAAAAAATAATAAAAAAGTTAAAATTTGTTAGATAACAGAATGGGGCCTGAACTGAAACTACCAACAAGTACATATGGGTCAGTTGTCTGTCGATGACCCCAACCAACGAACAGTGCCACCAGAGGCATTTATGGAATCAGCTTCAACCCTTAACTATTCCAGATTGCCTGTGGCCACCTCATTACCAGCAACAAACTAAAAACCAAAGGTCGTCAAGGAATATGACAACTCACAAAGACCCAAGATCACCTTAAAATGCCGGAGAGAATCTGCAATGCCAGGAGCAAGCTCCTTATCCACCCAGCCCAGCATGACGCCATCCAGCAGGACAGGGTAGCACTCACTGTATGGTCGATGTGGGGCTCCATCAACAGGAGTGACCCCTGGCAGAGGGAACAAACAAAACGGTCACTTCAGGTTTTATCCACCATTTCTAAATCCCTCTTCCCCCACCACTGTAGGTTCATCAATGCTTCAGCCATTTAGCTGTCTAACTGTCCTATCTCTAAGACAGGTATGCTTTGCCCTGCTGCTCAACTATAAATCACTTCAGCACAGACACCCGAAACTAGTAACTCTGCCTGCTTATGAGACAAGCTGTGGACAGCCTACAGTTAAGTTTTGCACTATACACCTTTTTACATTGTTTTTCTGAGCTATATAAATGTGTTAGCCTCTTCCAAAGTAGTCTAATTACAGTTGATCCTCAGTACCTGCAGATTCCGTGTTTCCCTACTTGCCCCATTTTATCTGCAACCACGAAGTACGATGGGACAAAAGATTTGAGTTGCCTGATGCACACTCTGCCTTCTTGTCTCAGCTCTCCCCCTGTAAACAGGTGGCCCTTGAAAGGGACACCATTTTTCTGCTTTTTGATGGTATTCATTGCAAATATCCCTCAAGTGTAGTACTGAGATGCTGTCTGGTGTTTTTAAGTGCAAAGTGGGTGTAATAAGCCTTACAGAGAAAATATGAGTGTTAGGTAAGCTTACAGTTACAGGGCTGTTGCCTGAGAGTTCAATGTTAGACTTGCAGAAACTGAGTCCTGTAGGTCTAGCAGCAATGGTTCAGTACTCACTAATTCAGCATTGCCAGTGACTATAAAATATGCTGTGAGTATATTTACTGTATATTAAGTTTTAAAAAAAGCACTCTTCCACACATTAGTCACCCTAACATGACCAGGTCAAGTAGCCTCTTCTACTGTCTTCCTCCCCAGTGCCAGAGCCAACAATTATCCCACCTCTTCTTCTACAGTGGGATGTATTTTCTACCTCTTCACTTTTCTCGTTTTTCCTTTCTACCTTCTCCTGGACTTCGACATTTTTAAACTTTGATAGAAAACAAAATTATTTTTTGTGTAGAGAGAATGAATAAATTATATCAATTACATCTTCTGAATCTTGAGTATTTCTTGATTATTTTCTCTGGGGCTCCCTTCTCACAGGTCATTCTCTAAATGGGGGAAGTACTTTTACACAGAAATTTCTTGACCCTTGACTCAATGCCCTTCTGGGTACTTAAGAATACCTACCATATGTTCCCTATGAACTGGAAATTACATTGTGTAAATATTAATCCCATAGGATTCCCACAGACCACCAAAGACAGAGATTTCTAGTTTCCAAATCACAACTGGAGAACCCCAGGACTAGAAAACTACAGTATACCCAAAGAAAAGGCTGACACCTTTAGCTATGAAGGTAAACTCACCAAGTATCAAACCTGAAAGAAAAATGAGCTTTCTAGCCAAAACAGAGAAAGTAAATACAGGGCTACTAGAACAAAGCTTCCTGATGACATCAGGATACACTGGGCAACACTGTTTTCTTCTTAGAAATGCAAAGGTCCACCAACAAATGTCAGAGGGGGTGACTCAAAAAGTTACACAGTAGTTTCTGTAGTTTTGAAACTAACTGCTGGTCTATTTCCTATGTTTTGACATTTTTGTTTGAAAGAAAGAAAATATCAATAACATTTAATTTCTCTTGTTTTCATTTCCAAAGAATACATTTGATCTTCTATAAAGAAAACAAGAAAGTAGACCAACTCCTGCACGGATGAGTGAAAAAAAATTCTTGTAAGAAATCTCTGCTGAATCCTCAAATGAAGTATAACTTAATGGGTTGCACTTGTCAGAAAACATAAACCCAAACAAGATTGTTTATTGCTGTTTATCACATACCCAAGCTGCAGAGCAAGGCTGGAATAGATGTTGTATAAGCAAACTGAGTGACAACCTCACATATGGCAGTTAAGTGGTTCATCAGACCACAGGGCGCCCCATCTGGGGTGTGCACAGGGCAAAGGAAGCCCCAGGACTCTGGCAGCAGCCTGCGTACTGTCGTGGTTCTCATCTTCGCAAAAGCAGCCCCTCTGTGCACACAGCGGAAATGGGAGAGATAGCGTATGAAGTTCAGCTTGTCAGCCACAATACACAGTCCAGAATATTGCAGGAAGCCAAGACCTTAATAAAATAAAACAAAACAGGCCAAACTTTTTAGAAAAGCATCTGCTTTTGAGGCTTTGATAAGTGACAAAACTTCAGAGCCCTCTACAGACCACAGAGTGGGTTACTGTAACATGCACTGTTAGTTCTGGTAAGTGGAAAGAATTAGAAACAAAAAAAGTCCCAGGGTTTCACAAATTGTATTGGCCCAAACTGCTTACCCATCTCCTCTACCACTACCTCCTTTATGAGAGAACATTAAACAAATAAAGAAACAGCAAATAATTAAATTCACATAAGAGCACTGGATCAACTGCTTTCTGGATCCCAATTTCCACTTTTAAGTTTCCCAATTCATTCTGATGCAAATGGTGTAGGGATGGACATGTGTAGTGACCCTTCCAGACTTCCTTTTAAGTAATCCTTCTTCAGACACCTCAGTGGTCCTTAGTTTTCTAGAGTGAATGGAATGTACTTGTCACTAGAAGTGGATTTAAGTGAACAGACAGACACTTGACTCAAGGCTTTCAGAACAGACATTTATCAAAATTTGCCCTAACATGAAATCTGTCTTCAGTGAAAGTGGATTTACTTTTGAAAAGAACCTTCCAGATGGACAGTGTCTCATGCCTGAAATCTAGCTACTCTGGAGGCAGATATCAGGGGATGGCAGTTTGAAGCCAGTGCAAGCAAAAAGTTAAGCAAGACCCAATCTCAACAAAACAAGCCAGGTGTAGTGGTGTGAGGGATCACAGCCTGAGCCCTAGGCAAAAAATAAGACCCTATCTGAAAAAAACCTAAAATAAAAAGGATGAGGGTGTTGTTTAAGGGGCAGAGCACCTGCCCGGCAAACAGTTTGAACTGAGTCCAGTCAAAACAACAACAAAAAAAACCCCCAAACTTCCCTTAGCAACATATAAATTTGTATCATGCAAATAATTTGAAAATAAAAGTGAGGTCTATTATATTTAATTTCACCTGTTTTTGATCGCAGATTCCCAGTAGCAAGAAGATATTCAAATGGTCTTGTAAGGTCTGCTCCCATACTGAAAATCTTCATCAAATTTTCAGTGTTTAAGGACACATTGGTCTTCTGTGCTTTTTTATCTAAGGCCATTTTAATAGACACTAACCAAGTTTCCATTTTTTCCTGAAAGAAACAATTTAATTAAAAATACTATTGCTTTAATTATCATAAATTTCATATTTACTTCCACATAATCAGTATAATCCATAATAAAATCCCTCTAATTTATCCAATTGACATGGAAACACCTAATCCACAAGCCTGAAAAACAGCTTTTTTAATGTACAACTGTAGGTCAGGACTTTCTCTAGACAGAAGACACAAGCAAGTCTAGATCAGGGTTTCTTACTCTTACCACTGTGAACATTTTGACTGGAGAGTTCTTGTGGTGGGGGCTGTCCTATGCATTGTAGGATATTTGCCAGCATCCCTGTCCTCTAACCACTGCACACCAATTGTGACAACTAAAAATGTGTCCAAACCATGGGAGAGAGGAGCAAAACACTTCAGACATGGAGTGAGGACAGACTACCACTCTAGATTACCACCTGAATGGAAATAATCAAATGTGTTTGCTTTGGCCTTAATTCAGGCCAATTTTTTTAATTAAAGTTTTTAATTTAAATGTTCTTATCAAGTGATCTAAATAGCTTCAATCCCAAGAAAAAGCAACCACAAAGCTTTGAGACCAAAGCAGCGATCTCCATGTTTTCAAGTACAAAAACAACCAAGAAGAGCTCAAAGTCTCCAAATTAGATGCAACATCCAAGACAGCTAATTAACTTATGAAGATTGACACCTTCTTCTCCAAAACCTGAAGAGGTGAAAAATGAGCACACACTGACTAGGAAATAGAGAAAAGGAACTGAGACATGGGCAAAAGCTCTGGAACCTGACACAGAAGGAGTCAGAAGAATAGGGAGGTAAACTCTCCTTTATTAGAGGCCTATTGGCTCTCCTTCAAAAAAAAAAAAAGTTTTATGTTCTTATATATGTATGTATGTATTTACTTATTTATTGTACTGGGGTTTGAACTCCAGGCCTTACACTTGCTAGTCAGGTACACTTGAATCATTCTGCCAGCCCTATTTTATTTTTGTTGACACATAATAATTATACAAATTTGTGGAGTACAAGGTAATGTCTCTACACACATACACATTGTGTAATGATCAAATCTGGGTAATTAGCATATCCATCACCTTAAACGTTAGTCACTCTTTCTAGTTAACTTCCTAAGGAGTTACATTTACCTGGCCCACACTACAAACTGGTATTTATCATGTTTATTTGAGCCTCATAAACACTAGTCATGAAGCAGTGCATGAAAAGACCACCGAAAAGTTCTGAGTCAAATGTATTTCAGTATGAAGAATTTTATGGAGCCAGGTGGCAATGGCTCATGCCTGTAATCCTAGCTACTCAGGAGGCAGAGATTTATCATGGTTTGAAGCCCACCTGGGCAATTAGTTGAGACCCTATTCTGAAAAAGCCCATCACAAAAAGAGGGCTGGTGGAGTGGCTCAAGGTGGAGGCCCTGAGTTCAAACCCCAATGCTGCCAAAAATAAATAAATAAATAAAAATTATGGGCTGGAAGTGTGGCTCAAGTGGTAGAGTACCTGCCTGGCAAGCACAAGGCCCTGAATTCAAACCCCAAAACTGCAAAAAAAAAAAAAAAAAAAATTGAACAGAGCTGGATGTGGTGGCTTTCACTTGTAATCCCAGCTGGAATGCCAGTTCAAAGCCAGCCTGAGCTACTAGAGGCCCTGTCTCAAAAAAAAATTCTGAACCTGTTATAAGCTAAGATTTTTTTAGTATGTCCCTGACTGTTAAACTTTAAAAAAAGACTATGAAAAATGGCAAAACTGGAAATTATTAACATGTAGACAACAACACTGCTAGATAAGAGCCACACCACCCCATGAAGTGACCCAGGGAGAAAGCAGCACGCACTTACCTTTAGAAACATAAGGAAGAGTTGACCAGGTGTAAGAACTTCCTGATTCACTAAGCTATCAGGATTGTCCTCCATGCACTCTCCTCTTGCTAAAGCAAAGAGCTTCCGGGTCATGAGACAAAGCAAATAAAACTTTTCAGTACTGGAGTTCAAGTGGATGCAGATGCACTGGCTGTAAAATAGGAAAAAAACTAAACAAACAAACAAAAAAATCTTTAAGCAATTTAACTGTCAACCCTACTGACTAAGGTCCCTAATTCATGTTTCTTTAAAATAAAAATCCTTACTCCAAGAGATAGCTTTTCACCTTTACTGGCAATATGAGCAATGAACAGAATGCTGTCACAAAGCGAAGAGCTATGCTGGAATATGGGAGCAAGTAGTCACATGCAGCTATCTCAGTTCAATTAAAATTAAATAAAATTAAGAATTCAGTTTCTCAACTGCACTGGCCATATCTCAAGGGCTCAGCAGATGGTCTGTGGCCATAAACTGGACAGCGCTTGCCTGGATCTGGATCTGGGCTCCTTTAATAATTACACAGTGGTTATATAAGCAAAGTCATTGCTTTGGGGAAATAAAGTGACATGATACCTGCAATTTTCAAACAGTACAGAAAGAAAATGTGTACCTATGCACAAAGTAATCAAGTAAATGTCTGTAAGAGTCCAATGTCCTGTGTGAACATTCTGGAAGTTTGTAATTATTTCAAAATAAGGTTAAGAACTACAATAAAATGAAATAAACTACCATAAGAAGAAGGGTGAGGAGGGCCACAGAGACAGAAGCTGGCCCCTACGGGCCAGGAACAGAATCATAACCTGGATCACTGATTTCCTGATGACCCATTGGCACAAACTGTGACCCATGCAAAGAACCACCATCTCCATCCCCCAAACACAAACACAAACACAGGCCCAGAACACATACTTAAACAGGAACTCTGCAGCTTGTTCATTAGGGTACCAGTCAGGAAGATTGAGTTTTACTCTGAAGCATTCACCTAGATAGTTAAGGACCTGCTTTTGTGTGGAACAACCCTCTTCCATTACAATCCTTAACATCTGAGAAACAGAGCTCCTAAAGAAAGAGTCATCCTCTTTTCCTTTGATGAGTTCCTGAAAAATCTGATAATCAGAAAAGCCAACAAGCGCCTAGAACAGAAAAAAAAGCTTTCTTTAAAATTATTTGTCAATAATAATTAAAATGTTATTCCCTTAGTTACAATTACCTTCTCTAGTGATTTTTAATACCCAAGAAAAATTAGTCTCCAATATTACTGAATTGAAACGAACCTTCCAAAATAATATACTCCTAATATGACAGCCAGACACCAAGATGGCACCAGTGATTCTCACTTCCTGATATTCAGACTTGTACAGTTCCTCCCACACTGAATTAGGACTGGCATGCATAACCAAAACATGTGGCAAAAAAGATGATGTGGATTCCCAAGGCTAGGTCATAAAAGTGCATTGCAGCTTCCACTTTGTTCTCTTGGCTAACTCTCTGGTGGAAGATGACAGAGAGAAACTAAGACCTCCTACCAACAACAAACACTGACCGAGACTTACCAGTCAAGTGAAGCCTAGTCAAGTCTTCAGCCCCTGAAGACTTTTCCAAGTCATTCCCAAATTCCTCACCCACAGAAACTATGGGAGAGAAATGTTTACTGTATTTATTGAATTCTGAGGCAATTTGTTGTGAAGTCACAGATAACTGACACAGCATACTTATTTATTTGAGACAGGGTCTTGCTGTATTGCCCAGCCTGGTCTCAAAGCTTGGAATCCTCCTCCAGGCTCAGTGTCCTGAGTAGCTGGGATTAAAGAAATGAGCCACAGTGCCCGGCTGTATAGCAAGTATTTCAACAAAGAGAATCCATCCAATTTGCACAGATTACTATCTCCAATTACTCATCTCATGGAAAAAAAATGTATTCATTAAGCCATACCTTCAGTGCAAATCCCAAAGGAAGAAAAAACAATTCTTTCTGGTAAATAAAGTTCAACATAACTGTGCCATTTTCCACATAGTGAAGGTTCATGTTGACAGCAGAATGTTCTTCCCTCACACAGTGCATTGAAACTCCTAATGAAACAAACAGTAAAAATCATAAACTATAGGCCAAGATCCTTGACTTACAGCACTTTATATTCTGAGCATCCTGCAGAAGCAGAGTCAACACCTTGTAGAGTCTGGTCAATGCATGGTGGTTTGACCCAACAATTACAATGGAGAATGGCAGAACTTTATACTAAGTTTCATTCAGCTTCAAAGACTGCTAAGACACACTGCTGAAGCAAAAGAATAAAGGACTGGACATTCTGACATGCTGTTTTTCTAGGCGTCATATATAGCAATGGTTAAAGGCTACATTTTTACCTCACTTTTAAGGATAAACTATTTAAATGTAGGAGTTGAAAAGAATGTCACACATTATCTTGCAAAGCTGGGCACTGTCACAGAGAGCACGCAAGCACAGGCCAGGTCCTTGAGGGGAGTGCCAAGGCAGTTGAAACCAGAAGACTTCCAAGGCCCTTGCCTTCCTATGATCAAGTCAGGCCACCCTTCATCCTCATGTAGACAAATATATATAATACAGAAAGCAGGTTTTGCATTATGCAATCTTTCTTTAGGTAGATTTTTAATTTTTTTGTTTTTTTTTTTTGATGGTAGTGAGGTTTGAACTCAGGCCTTCGCACTTGCAAAGCAAGCACTCTATAGCCTGGGCCACGCCTCCAGTCCTAGGTTTTTATTTAAAAAAAAATACTTAATTAAAAAAGAATGTACATATTAAAGTGATGATCTGATATATGTACAGATGGCCCTGACTTAATGATGATTTGACTTGTGATTCTTCCATTTTACATTGGTATGAGAGCCAGACTCATTCAGTGGAAATCATATTTTGCTTTTTAAATTTTGGTCTTCTCTCAATCTAGAAATGTATGATATTTTCTTATGAGTTTGGACAGCAGCAGCAAGCAGCAGCTCCCAGTCAGCCCAGTGATCAAGAGGTAAGCAAATGATAAGTCTACGATGTACTATGTTGCCAGTGTTTTTGGATACTGTGTTTTGTGTTTTCATATCCCATCATGTCTACAAAAATTCAACCTGTATGCATAAATGAGACAATGAACATTTTAACACGTTCTGTGTCAGGTGATTTTCCCCAACTGAAGGCTAGTATAAGTGTTCTGAGCACCTTTAAGGTAGGCTAGGCTAAGCTAAGCTTCAATGTTTGGTAGGTTAAGTGCCTTTTTTTTATTTGTGGTGCCAGGAACTGAACTTGTGCATGGCAAGTAAACGCTCTACCATTAAGCTACATTTCCAGCCCCTAAGTGCATCTTTGATGTATGATATGTTCAACTTATTAGGATGCAATACCTTAAGGTGAGGAAAATCTGTATACTGTATAATGATTACCACAAGTTGATAAAATCACTTCCACAGTTGCCATCTCTGCTGAGTGTATATGTGCACATGTAGAGTTGGAATACTTTAAATCTATCCATCAAATTTCATATAACAATGCAGTATTATTAACTATGCCAACCATACTGTACACCAGCACCAGGAACTAAAACTTTATACCCTTTGATCAACCCCATTCATCAAATTTTCATTTTCTCCCCCACCTCCATTAACCTCAGAAATGCTTACTAGAAAAATAAACAAAAAGTATGTAAGAGAAAATATTAAAAATCCTCTACACATGCACCTGCTTTTTTATATTTATTTATTTTTTGGCAGGGGTGAGGGGGACGACTGGAGTTTTGAACTTGGCCTGATGCTTGCTAAACAGTTGCTCTACCACTTGAGCCATCCCCACAGCCCACATCTGCTTTTTAAACAGCTTTAAACTTTTCTAAAAGGACATTCCAATGACCACTAAAACTTACCAAACTGAGTATATCCAGGTCCTCTGCTTTTCCACTTTGGTCTTACCATTGCAATGGGGAAATTTCTCCGAGGCATAATCAACATTCGGATAACTTTTTCAATGCCATTGATTATAAAGTAACCTCCCATTTCCTGCCAAGGAGATGGTTATCATTTATTAAACAAAGGTATATGGTAACTGTATATATGAACCTATTTCTAGCCAGGTGCAGGGCAACATGCAGAAGTGTACACAGGTGAAAAGGACTACCGATCCCTTGAAAACAGTACAGACATATTATTCACACAGATCAGAAAGGTTCATGGTACATGGGAGAAAATTATGGAAGGAAAACAGGTGACTTCCCTCTACCAGACAGGTTCAGCCTAACTTGTCTTTCTGTCCTCCTAAAATTATTTCAATCTTTAAGTGACATTAAAAAGAAAACTTCACTCTAAAGATTAAGTATACAGATAAAAACAGTAACCATTTTTCTTCCCAAGTAAGATAAAAAACATTTCGCTGTAGAAAAGTTCTGCAAACCAGAAATTTGGATTACTAGATGTAGAAAGATATTGCAATAACTCTGGTCAGTCACATTCTGTAATAAAGAGTGACTACTACCTGTTAACTATGAAACCATCACATGACACACGCAGGTACTCCGAGTTACTGTAACATTCAGTCCTCATAATGATGAGTTGGATTGCTACTATGCCCATTTTCAACAGAGGAAACTGAAGTTCAGGGAGATGAAAATTTCCAAAACCACCCAACTGGTAAGCAGAAAAGCTGAGTGTCACATCAAGATCTGACACCAAAACAGTCTTCCCAAGGTGTAAGACGTCATTTCAGGCAGTCTGTACTTTTTGATTACTTCAACTCAGTGTTCCAAAGTCAGCTAACATAGCTCAAAGAAATGAGGGGAAGGTATATGAATGATTTAATATGCTTGCAGAATCATACTGTCAGTAAGAAAGCATTTCTGACAATATAGTCTTGTGGGTGAAGACAGCTTCAATTTTTTTTTTTCCTAGAAGTATGTCTCTAAATATGTATAATTCAGAAAATTAAGAGTTGGGAGTGTAGTTAGATGGTAGAAAGTCATGCAAGGCCATGGGTTCAATCCCCAGGAGGAAGAAAGTGGCGAAGAGGAAGAACAAGAAGAAGAAAATCGGGGAAAAGCTACTAGCTCTTCCTCCCAAAGATAATGTTCCCTAATTGCATAGCTGCTTTATCATACTGTCTCAGTTGGATCATCAAGAGCCACATGTATGTGAGGACAAGATGTTAGTGCCCTATTTGACCTATCCAGAAATTGAAGCAGTGACAGCGAAACTGGCTCTCACTGACAAGCTTCCTGTCTTCCCACTCCCAATCCAGGCCGAAACTACTGTCACATGGCCTGGATCCCTGTGTTCACCTCTGCCTCCTCATGGTGCTCGATGAGGGCTTGTGGAGGAAGGTGGTGTAAGTTACAGAGCTGGGACTTCACCATGATGGGAACATAGCCAAGAAACTGTTTAATGATTCCTTTTGAGATTCCATTCACTGCCCAGCTGATATCAGCCTAGATGAAAACAAAAGAAAATAATTACTTAAAGAATTTGAATCTGCAAAAACAAGTGAGGAAGAGGACCATAATTAAGGGATTTATGCCGCTGATTTAGAAGATGTGATCTCTTAGATGGCAGCACTAAGCCAGCAGAATTCTCAGATAAACCTTATTAGGTATCAACCCTATTTTCAAAGATGTCAGCAAGAACACATTCTCACTAGTACTCACTGTCAACTTCCCACGGTAGGTACTCCTTCGCCCACGACATTCGGCTGGATAAACCTTGAGCTCTTTGCAGATGGTCCCTTTTGGAACTGTTGGTGGACTGATGACCGCATCCACAATAGTAAGAGAGATACGCTCATCTTTAAAAGCAAACTCAAAGGGAGGTATAGCCTGAAATACAATTGACACTGTTAAACTGCTTGCGTTTCCAAGTGTCTCTAAGATTCTTCCAAACCTCATGTGTTCTACAAGCACTATACCTGTACTGTCAATGTGACATCTCTAAAAAGGACTCTCATAACTTCATTAAGTACTTAAAAACCACAACGCATTAGCTAAGTTTTTTTTTTTTTTTTTTAAATCAGGTACCATAAGTCAGATTGTGTAGTAGGCTCTCACTGTGAAAAGCTCCTGCTCTCCAAACCAAGTGCCTACCCTCTATGTACACAAGAAAACAAACAGACCTGCAGCTGACAGGCCAAGGATAGAGGAACATCTTTCTAGAGCCCACTAATGCCATTCTTGTACATTTCACTCCTTGGTGATCTGATACTGAAGCCAGGGCCACACAAAGGCAAACATGGTAGGCCAAGGTGGTTTTCCCCTTCCAAGGCAGGGTCTTGGGGAAGCTTTCCTATTCTTTTGAGGAAGGGGCCCCACCGATCCCATATATTAACTATGAATATACAGTTCCCAACCTTAGTGTTAAAATAATGAAAATGCCAAGAACAGAGCCAAGTAAGAACACAAAGGTTCTCCACCCTCATGTGAGTTCAACTGTCATTTTCTAGACTTTTAAACTGTTACTTAAAGCTGGTGCTATTTTAGAATTTAATATTTAAAAAATAAAATCTGTCATACATTTCAGGTTCAAGGAAGAGCATTAGTTGAAAAAGAAAGGGAGACTAGAAGATTTTCTTTCTCAAACCACAGCTGTACTGTCTAAATATAGACAGTTCTCATTATTCACAGTCGTAGGGTCTAAAAGTTGCCACAAACAGTGCATCAGTGAACAATGAGCCACTGCTCCTAGGGAAAACACAAAGTTAGGGTCCTATGAGTCTCCAGTCACAGTATTTCATTGACTGCTCATTATATAATCTTGGTTTATGCATGTAAGTTTGCCTTTAAGGCCACCTTACTTAATATACACGTACACTGCTAAGCCATTAACACGGAACTCTCAGCAATAGCACTAACATGTATTTTCTCCATGAAACACAGCACTTTAGTACTACACTTGGGGGCAATTTTAAGTAGCAAAACTTACCAAGAAAAAGCACAAAAAATGGGTTGGTGCCTATTTTACAGACTCATGCTTGTAATTCCAGCTACTTGGGAGGCAGAAATTGGAAGGATCACAGTTCAAGGCAGCCTGGACCTAAAAATAGGGAGAATCCACCCAATAAACAAGCTGTGTAGGGTGGCTTATGGTGGTACATACTAACAGGCACAAGGCCCTGAATTCAAACCCCAGGACCACTGAAAAAGAAAGGCAGGGAAAAAAGAGCACAAAAATGGGGAAAAACCACAGCATTAAATAGATAACAAAAAGGACTCTTGCCCCTGCTTATCCTCTGAGAACCTGAAACACTGAGGGAGAGTGTATTGCAACTCAGCTATGAACAAGCACACTGAGTGATTCAGTGTCAATTAATGACCTGTTGGTGGGTACAGATTTGGTAACTACAAGTAAATTTTAGTGAGTAGCTGAATTTGCAAATATACAATCACTAAATAATGAAAATCTTTTTTTTTTTTTTTGGTGGTGGTGGTTTTGGGGTTTGAACTCAGGGCCTCATGCTTGCTCAATTATATTCTGAAAAGATTAACAGACATAAAAATTCCAACTTACAGAATGGAAAGATCTACCCCAAAGAACCATGCAAAAAGTATATATAAACAAAAATATGATAAAGGCAATTTTTTCCCTGGTTTATAGATAGTGGTCTTCCCTTACTATGTATTATGTATTACAATTCCAGCTAAGTTCTGGTGTCATTATTTATATAGAGTCAAATTTTCTTTATCTACTTCAACCAAAAGAACATATCACATAGTCGGGTGCTGGTGGCTCACACGTGTAATCCTAGCTACTCAGGAGGCAGAGATGAGGAGGATCGTGGTTAGAAGCCAGCCCAGACAAACAGCTCTCGAGACCCTACCTCAAAAAACCCTTCACAAAAAAGGGCTGGTGGAGTGGCTCAAGGTGAAGGCCCTGAGTTCAAGCCTCAGTACTGCAAAAAAGAAAACAAGAACACAAGCATAGGTCCTGAGTTCAAATTCCAGTGCTGCCAAAAAAAGTAAATAAATAAATCACAATGGAGTGAATGCAGAAGTAGGTCGAGAACCCAGCTGTCTTCTAAAAAGCCAGACATTTTAGAAGATTTTTAAAATGTGACTCTTTTTTGCTTTTGCTTTTGTTCTTTGGAAAATATTCTTTGTGAGAAATGTTTATGCATACTGGTTTATTTTTAAATGAATTAACCTTTTAATAAATTTCACAATTTTAATTTCTAATGAAGTGAATATTGGTAAACAAAAGCTCTTTAGGGGTCCCTCAAGGATTTTAAGAGTAGAAGGGACAAAAAAGTTAGCAATTGGTGTATTACTCTGTAAAAACTCTATGCACCTGTACTCCTTTTGTATTATTTTTGAGCAAGCCTTCCCTGACTATCTCAACCCTGGACTCTTCTGTCATTATTTTGATAAACTCTAGCATCAATTAATTGCAAATAATTTTTCTTGTAGCCATTACCTCCTAAGAGCCCAGGGACCATACAGATAGTCCCCATCACTCTTGTCTTTCTCAAAAAGGGTGGGTACTGATCTTCGAATCAGATATTGAATGGCTCCAATATCTGGAAGCATGAGATTCAACCAAAGCTCTACACATTATTTCTCTCCCTGCTATCCCAAAACAACTACCCTTAGGGTAGTATGCCCTAAGCCAGTGGCTCTCTCTGCTGCCTTTCCCCCAGAGGAAATGCACTCCTCTTTTACTGGATTCACCTAATCCTACACTTTCTAAATTCCTGGTTTAGCTGCACTTCCCATGTGCTGCTTAGTAGCCTATCCAAACTCTTGGCAGAGCAGTTCTCAAGACTGTTTTGAGGTTTCCATCACTCCACCTCCAAAACACAATATGGAACACTGAAGGGCATGGGCTGTCTCTTCCAGGGGATGCCTCTTCTTTACCCTCAGAGGAGGCCACCATCCTCACCTGAACTCTGCCACCACTGCCCAGTGGACCCATCTTTACAACTCATTTATATGTTCCTCAACACCTGTCCAATTCAGATCAGACGCCCAGTAGTGTTTCTCTTTCAAACGCTAAGAGAAGGAAACCAAAGGATGACCTTGCACATTACACTCTATCTATGGAATCAGTTCAGAATTTTTTGAGGTAGTTTTAGAAAGTAAGACTTCAAGTGCATGTGCGTTGTGAATGGTTGGGAAGCACACCCTAAATAGACTGTCTTACAAAAAAAAAACCCTACAACTCAAGCTAGGAGGCAGTGGCTTTCCCTGTAATCCTAGCAACTGGGGAAGTGAAAATGGGCGAATCTGTTCGAGGCCACCTCAGGCAAAAAGTCTGAGAGATCCCCATCTCAATGTCTAGGCCAATGGTGCACGCCTGTCATGCTAGCTATGCAGGGAAAACCAATTAGGACAATCGAGATACAAGCTGGCCAAGCAAAAAGCGAGACTCTATTTCAAAAATAACCAACTGCCAAAAAAAAAAAAAAAAAAAGGACTGGGGACGTGGCTCAAGTGGTAGGAGCGCCTGCCTACCAAGCGTGAGGCCCTGAGTTCAAATCCAATAGAGCAAAAAAAAAAAAACCCTACTAGTCATAATCACATATAAATCCAGAAATCACAGATACATTTTCCCCTGCTTTTCTCTCCCCTAGCAGGATAAATGAGTACGCATACCTGGGGTTACATTGTGGCCGCCCAGCCCGGAACCCCTCACGGGCCCCGCGCTCCGTTTCCCGCCACCTCCCACCAGCCCCTAGTCTACTCGCATCGCCCTGCAGCTGCGATCCTGGGAGGACGCCGCGCTCACCTGCACTGCGTGACTGAGACCCTCGTGCACGGCGTAGTTGAAGGAGTCCACGTGCGCCCGCGTCAGGTCCTGCAACGCCGCCTGCTGCTGCTCCTTCGGGATCCCGTAAGATGGGTCGGTCAAATGCTTTAGGCTAGGCCCACTGGGGAGGCTCCGCCACCGACCGCCGGGATCCATGTCCCCCAGCACTCGGGGCACCAGCGCAGGCTCTACACGCGTGTGTAGAAATGGGAAATGTAGTTCCCTCTTGTTTGGTCCGTCCCCTCCTCCCCGGGTCCTGCGGTTTAATAGGGTCGGCTTGCAACCCGAACTGTAGAGTGAATGGGCCGGTTAGAACTGAATAGCTTTTTTGTGTGCCACCTAGATTGCTCCTCTCAAATGATCAAAGGTGGAAACCCTCTCCACTGCAGCTTGTGACCTCTGTGGCCGACATTCGTTCAATCACCTGGACCGAAATCCTGGCTGGGGGGCTGGGGGGAGTTGGGTGGTCTCCAAGTGTATTTACAACCTTAATAATGTCTATCGAGCCTCTTTGTGAGTCGCTAATCACCCAGGAATACTATTTAATCCTACCTTTCATCTTCATCCTGTGGGTATTTAATAGCTGTACTGTGGCACAGTTGGCACATAATACTGCACTACACACGTTTACTATGAATTTTTTAGTGGTACTGGAGTTCGTCCTTTTCTGCTACCAACCACACCATTTCTCTGCTTCCTTTAGAACACAAATCATTAAAAGGATTAACCATTCTGTCTGCTGTTTTCAAGGTTCATTCATGTTGCAGCATATGTCAATATTCATTTCTTTCATGGCTGACTAATAATCCAATGTATTGATATACCTCATTTTGTTTATCCATTCTCTAGTCAATGAACTTTTGGGTTGTTTCTACCCATGGATATTATGAATAATGCGATGAATATCGCTGTGCAAGTATTTGAATGTGTTTTCAAATCGCAGCTATTATACCTACTATATATATATATATATATATATATATATATATATGGTAGTCAGCTTTTCATCACTGTGGCAAAATATCTGAGAAAGCAATTTAAAGAAGAAAAGATTTATTTTGGCTCATTGTTTCAGAGGTTTCAGTCCATGGTGGAGGGGAGGACATGGCAGAGCGGAGCAACTCACCCATGGTGGCCAGGAAGCAGAGTGCCTGAGTTAGAGGGCTTTCTCCTTTCTCCCATTTTATTCTATATGGGCCCCCGGCCTATGGGATAGTGGTCCAAATTCAAGGTGGGTCTTCCCCCCTTAATTAATCATCTCTGGAAATGCCCTTATAGACATACATCAAGTTGTGCTTCACTAACCTCCGAGGCATCTCTCAATCCAGTCAAGTTGACAATCAAGAGTAATTATCACAGAATGGAATTTCTGTGTCATAAACTAACTCCATAGTTCACTTTTTGAGGTTCTGTGAAACCATTTTTCAAATGAGCTATACAATTTTAATTTCTCCTGGCAGTGTACAAGGATTTCAATTTCTCTATGTCCTTACCTATAGCTGATACTGTCTTTTCAGTATAACCATCCTAATAAATGCAGTAATGCCTAATTGTAGTTTTGATTTGCATTTGTCTAATGACTGGTGATGTTAAGCATCTCTTTTTGTTCTTACAGGTCAATTGTATCTTTTCTTTGGAGAAATGTCTGTTTAGATACATTGTCTAATTTTAATATTGCTTTGTCATTTTATTGTTGAGGTAATGCTTCTTTATATAATAATCTATGCCAGTCTTTCTTAGGCATGCGATTTGAAAATATTTTCTCCTGTTCTGTGGGTTGTCTATTCTCAATCTCTCTCTCCCTCTCCCTCTCCATGTGTATGTGCCTTGCTGGGGTTTGAATTCAGGGCTTTGAACTTCTGAGGCAAGCACATTACTACTTGATCCACACCTCCAGCACTTTTTGCTCTGGTTATTTTGAAGATAGAGTCTCACTTTTTGCCCAGGCAAGCCTAGACCAAGTTCCTCCTGTTTTAAGCTTTTTGCATCACTGAGATAACAAGAACATGCCACCCATACCTAGCTTTTTCCACTGAGATGAGGCCTTACAAACTTTTTGCCCCTGCTGGCCTGGAATTGCAATCCTCCTGATTTCAGCCTCACATGTACTTTGGGATGACAGACACATGCCACAATACCAGCTTATTTTCTTAATATTGTCCTTTGAGGCAACAAAGTCCTGAGTTCAAAATCCCAGTCCCACCAAAAAAAAAAAAGGCAACAAAAAAGTTTTGGTGAAGTGCAGTTTTTTCTTTTGTTTTTGTGCTTTTAGTATCGTATCTTAGAAATCATTGCTTAACCAAGGCCATAAGGGCTTCAACTCTTACATTTAGCTTTTGATCCATTTTGAGTTAATTTTTGGATATGGTGTGAAAAGGCAAACCCCTTCACTTTTTTGTATGTATATCTCCAGTTGTCCTAGCACCATTCACTGAACACTATAGCTTTGTGACAGATTTTGAATTTAGGAAGTTTAATCCTAAGAACGCTTTGACTTTGTTCCCTTTTTTTCAGATTTCTATGGCTACTCTTGGTTCTTTGTATTTCGATATGAATTTTAGTTTCATCTTGTCAATTTCTGCAAAAACAGAAGCTGAAGTTTTTTGACATAGATGTGTTCAAACTGTAGTTCAACTTGGTGGGGGGGGTATTTTCAGCTTAACAATAATTTTCTTCCAGTCTGTGAACAAGAGACATCTTCCATTTATTTAGATGTTTTAAAATTTTTTTCAACAATGTTTTGTATTTTTTGATGTACCAATGAATTTTCGTTAAATTTATTCCTAATTGTTTTGGTGATGATATAAATGGAATTATTTTCTTAATTTCATTTTCAAATTGTTAATTTATAGTATACAGATACATAATTGAGTTTTGTATATTGATTTTGTACTTGGTAACCTTGCTGAACTCATTTACTAGATATAATCATTTCTGTGGATTTCTTAGGACTTTTCTCTGTAAAATTCTTGTTTTTTGTTTTGTTTTGGCGGTGCTGGGGCTTGAACTCAGGGCCTATACCTTAAGCCACTTCAATTTTTGTGATGGACTTTTTCGAGACAGGGTCTCTCGAACTATTTGCCCAGCCTTACTTTGAACCACAATCCTCCTGATCTCTGCCTCCTAAGTAGCAAGGATTACAGGCGTGAGCCACTGGTGCCTGGTAAGTTCTTGTCATCTACCAGGAAAGATAAGTTATCCTTCTTCCTTTCCAATCTGGATGCCTTTCCCCCTCTCTCCCTTCATTCTGGCTAGAACCTTTGGTATACATTCTTTTGTTTGTTGAGAAAGGGTCTTGCTGTGTACAGGCTGACCTTGAATTTGCAATTCTCCTACCTCAGCCTCTTGAGTGCAGGGATTTCAGGCATGAACTACCACACTCAGCCTACCTTTAGTACAGTTTTGAATGAAGCATTAAAAACGGACGTGTTTGTTTTCTGCCTGATATTAGGTAGGAAGCTTTCAGTCTTTACCATTAAATATAATGTAGTCTGTGGGGTTTTCCAAAGATGCCCTCTATCAGTTACTTAATGAAGTCTCCATCCTCTCCTAATTTCCTATTTTATCAAGAAAGTGTATGTATGTTCAAATGTTTTTTATGTTTATATTTATATGATTATTTGGGTTTGTC